ATAATCTCACCGTCTACCTGAGGCCATAGCATTTTGCCGTTAATTGGGTTTAAGATGTTGTTGTAGCAACGTAAGTATGCGTCAACAGAGTAGCAATAGTCAACAAAATCTTCTGGGTCATTTCTACATTCTCGTATCACCGCCATTGCATGAATGCAAGGAATTCCAGTCAACTGCCACCTTCTACAAGCACATGTTCTTTCCTCAAGGTCAACAACGTACGTCCCATAGCTACAATCAACTTGCCATTTAGGACCTCCCGACAGATGTAGTATGCATTCTCTTGAAGCCTCCAGGATGTTATCAACACGTTTTTTAATGTTTGGACACAGCCTGCCATTGTAGCTCCTCATCATATCCCTTCGTTTCTGTATTCTAGTCATGAACGTCGATTGCATTGAAGTAAGCATTGATAGAATAAGCTTTTCTCGATCTTCCAATAACATCTTATTGAACACCTCGCAGCCATTGTTTAGTAACACATCACATTTCGAAAACACCGGAAAATGAGACTTACTCCACTCTTGTGCAGGCCTTTCCATCAACCACTCATATGCTCCTTCATTTACATTACGAATCTGACGCATCCAATGAATAAAGTCGGCAACGGTTGTTGACTTCGCAGCTCTCCATAGAAAGTCCTTCAATGTTTTCCCTTTAAACCCCGCTGTGAAGAAGTTGGTGTACATGTGTCGCACACAAAACCTATGCTCTGCCTCAGGGAACTTTTCATTTATGACGTTTTGGAGTCCTTTTTGTCGATCAGTCATAAATGTCCATTGCTCGCCATTACCAATTTGAATGTCATTAGCCAGATATGTCATGAACCATCGCCATGCTAACATGTTTTCCTTCTGAACAACAGCATAAGCAACAGGGTAGATACCATCGTTGGCATCGTGTCCAACAGCAGTAAGTAGTATACCACCGAAGCTTCCACGTAAATGGCACCCATCAACCCCAATAACCCTCCTACAGCCGTCAACAAAACCTGTCTTGCAAGCCTCGAAGCAAATGTAAATCCCCTGGAATATATGTTGAGTATTGGTAGCTATGACGACAGTTGACCCAGGATTAGTACGTAAAATTTCAGCACCATAGCACCTCAAGGCTGCGAATTGATCCTCAATAGTTCCATTCAACAATTCCCTTGCATACCGTCTCATCTTCCAAGCAACATTCCTGCTAATCTCAGTCCGTAGGTCTTCTTTAACCAGGGCAATGATGCTCCTTGTTTTCCATTCTGGGTCAGCCTTGAATTGGTTAATATAACGTTGTGCCAAGAAATTGTAATTACAATTCCTGTTGTACTGCTCTCGACTGCAGGTGTGGTCCGGAATGTATGACTTCACTTGGACCCTATCCTTGTCACCAATATATGATGCCCAAATTCTCCATTTGCATCCAACTTTGCAAACACCCTGAACTCTTTTCGCATCATTTGCCTTGAATTTAACATTATAGCCATTCACCGCACCATAACTTCTTACTGCTTTACGGAACTCGACAACATCCCTGAAAAGTTGTCCCACCTCGAACCGTGGATTGCTCATCTGAGTCTCTGCCAAAAACTCTGGAAACTTGCAGCCAACGTCCTCATTCGATGAATCCCCAGAAACCAATTCTTCGGATGACGGATACTCCAATTTGTCATCCGCTTCATCTTCATTTATGTTCACTAACTGGTTGTGTTGCTCTAATTCATCCATATTTAGACCAACTTCAATCCCATCTGTCACATTACGATCGTACAAAATGTCATCTTGTAAGTTCGATTCACTTTCAGAAGCAACAAAGTCTGGGTCATCATCATCGGTTACATCACGATCGAATATAGCAGCATCACCATCTACATCAAACTCCCGGTCAGAATCAATGAAGTCCAGGTCTTGCTCACCATCCCCCTCATCTCCTACTTTAATCCCTTCAGTGACGTTCTCATCATACAGGGCATCATCATCTTCAAACTCCAAATTATTCACAGAGCTGATGTAGTCCGGATCTTCCACATTTCGAGAGCAGCCTGTACATTTCAAGTGAAAATGAACAATGAATAACCTTAAAACTCTCGAATAGTTGACGTTTCGCCCACAAAAAAAAAAAAAACCAGAAAACAAAAAACAAAAAACGTATATATAAAAATTGGTGTACAAGAGGTACATAAAATGACTACAAAAAAAAAAGACATTGTTTTTTTACACACGTGGATGTTTTCATTTACAGTGGCAGACAAATTACACGACAAAATGTAGTGTGAAATTGCAGTGGGAACTTTATACCTCCATGTGGTCCCTCCATTGCATCAGTGTGAAATTACAATTAGAACTTTTCTTCTGTTCAGAAGGTAGTGGGGTAGGCGATTGGAATCGGACGATCGTGATTTGGGGGTTTTTTGGTGAAGATGACGGGGAATTGGGGATTTTCTCACGGGTGGGAGGATTTTGGAGAGAGAACAGGTTTTGGGAATTTTTTAATAGGTGAGGTGGATATTTTGGTGGAAGGTTGTGGGTTATTTTTTAATAGGTGAGGTGGATATTTTGGTGGAGTTGTCCAAATTTTAAACGGCAGATGTGACCACGTGTGTTTTCCGTTAGCCACGTTGGCTTCGATGTTAACGGAATTTAGTGAGTGTTGGATGTGGTGCAACGGTGGAAAGTTCAGTGACCATTTAGAGGCATTTTGAAGTTCAGTGAGTAAGTCGTGACCATGTAAAAGTTCAGTGACTGTTCAAACAATTTACTCGTTACTGTTCGGTGGTTGGGTATTGATACAAGGTGCTTGGAACAATGCAAACATAGGACTTGGAAGTATATAGAGCCCCCGTTTGGGCCACCTTTTTATCTTATTAAAATGAAAAATATGACCGTTATCCATCACATCAACATTTAAATTCAAATTTTTATCTCTTGTGTGGACTCCAATAACGACTATATTTTTCATTCTGATTTTATAATAATTTGGCTCAAACAGGCCTATGGTTGGCTTTCTCAATATAATAATTTTTTTATGGTTGAATTTTTATATATCGTATGGGTCTGAATGAATTATGGCTTTTTTTTATTTTAATTTTGATTCTTTTAGAATCGCTTATCTCTCACACTTGTTTTTAACAACAAAATCTTTTAAAATATTATTTTCACATTTTTCATTAATATTTCTCTACCTTTTTAACCTCACATTTATTTAAAAAAATAATTCAAAAATCCATTTCTAATAAAAAATTATCAAACAAGCGTCGTATTTAGATGACTAAAGTGTCGAGCGTTTCGTTCATAAAAAGCCTTGTCATGATATTAATCTCCAGTTTCGTAGAAATTAAAATTTAGATTTTAATTTAAATCAAAGTGAACAATCAATTTTAATCACGTATTTCATGAGGCTTACCATTTTTTAAACACACATCTCATCATTTTTTTGTCAAAATTTATTAAAAAATTATTTTTAATCCCAACCAAATAGGGTTAACTATTTCTTTTCTCTTTTTAACCCACTCTCTATGGAATTACAGTGTAGAACTCGAGAGTCATCTCCTTCTTTTCGACTAACTTTAACTTTATCTTTTTTTTTTTTTACACTATCATTTAATTCTGTTATTCTACTTTTCTTCGCTAGAAATTTCTATTTTTGGCCAATCAATTGCTTTACTCGTACTCCTCTTCCATTTATATTTATTTATTTTTCTTTTCAATTTAAAATTTTCAAGTTCAAATTGAAAAAGATTGTAAAATTTGAAACTGTAGAGGACCCACGCAACCCGAACACCCTTTAATCATCTATAATATATTAAATAGTTTGTTTGAGCTTCATTTTTTATTTATTTTTGACAAGAGTGCATTTTGGAATAATGATTTGACGGAGAATGTGTGGTTAAAAAATAACTTTTTTTTTTGGTTTATGTGCAATATTGTTTTATTAAAGAATGTGTGGTTGAAAATAAGAGAGATAAAAATATATTTTGAAAATAATGGAGACCAAACAAGAGCGAAATATTACATCAAGTAAGAATCATTTTTTGGCGATTTTAGTCGTACTATAATTCAATTATTTCAATAATATCACATTTTTCGTTTTTCAATATGTATTTAATTTATTTTATCATTTATTTATCATTAATGTACACATATATTTAACAGATTCATTACGCATCCGTGCTTTCATTAATTTATGAATTTCCTATTATTAATTCTCAATTAATTAACATTCATATTCATATTTATTTATACATTTCAGTGTTATTAATTCTAATTATAAGTTAATTACAATTTCAAATTCAAGAATGAATTTCATTATTCTCGTCCATTTATTCTAATCAATATCTAGTTTTACTTAATTGAAAATTAAATAAACGATTTAACATTCATTTTCACGTGTATATTCTTTGTTATGAATTCTAAATCAATTGACATCTACTTATATTCAAATATTACTTTTACGACACTTATAAAATATTTCATAATAATGTGCAATGCACGTTCAACGTTGATTAGTCTCAAGATTTTCCTGAGTGTTTCATGGATTGTTATCTAGGTGCCATCTAAATATAGATACTTTCGATGTAAATTAATGTTTAATTAACATACAATTTAGTTAAATTTTCATTTCGAACGAGTTTCAGCTATAATTTAAGAGAGGAAAATAAGAAAAAGAGAAATAATAAATTATGATGACTTACTCAGTCTAAACCTCTACATTTAGACGGTATTCTTGATAATGGTTTATCAGCTAAATAAATACTTTGCATCGAAGGCAAAATTTTATAGATATGATTTATTTTAACTAATGTAATAATCATTTTGGTGCAATTCACACTAGCATTCAAGGCGTTCTAATTGCAAACGAATTTTGCTAATTGGAGAGAACTGTGAAAAGTGAAATTGGAGAGGAACTGGGCAACCCGCCCGCGCGTGAATCTACTATTACCCATTTAAAGTGGTTACTTTTGATCACTTGTTTTTCATTTAAATCTTTTCTTCTACGGGCCCTTAGTTCCTCGCTAAAAAATGGTAAGAACTGAAAACGAAATCCAAGTTAAACAAGAAATTATCGAGCAGAGCCGAAAGCCGAATGACTCCCTTCCGCCGGCTTGCTTTATCAACTTGTCAAGTTCCGATTCCGATTCGGACTTCGATTCAGATTCGGATGCTTTGTCCGACAATGATATCGACGGAATTGTTAACAAAAGGCCTCGGGAGTCGACTGGAGAAGTTTCTGGAAACAAGAAGAAGAAGAGAGCCAAGGATTTAAGTTTTGTATTGCCGGTGGGGTTTCTTGACCCTCTGCCCGGTAAAGAATCAGTATCGAAAGATTCAGAGGCGCCGTTGGCGTTGCCTGCGCCGCCGGAAAGAAACGCTGGGGTTGTGAGCGGTTGTAAGCAGTTCTGGAAGGCAGGGGACTTTGACGGCGGGCCTTCTGGTGACTGGCGGTCAGCTACCGGTAAATTTTTGAATTGCATGTTTTTCTTTTTTGATAATAATGCTGGATAGAAGTTAGGTTGTATGGAACCTTCAAAATGGCTAGAGTTCATGTCATTTATAACTGAAGCTTTTGGGAAACTCCAGAGGAAGATTCGGAAGCTCAAAAGAAATATAGTATTTTATTAGTTTTTTTGTAATTCGATATTACTAAAGGGACTTTTAAGATATTTTGACCAAAATATTTCATAATTAGATTGGAAATTGAGTTCGGGTTTATAAAAAATTGCAGGTTTTTTGTCTTACTTTTTTCCATAATAGCGATTTCGTGCAACCAAAAATGAGAGCTTTATGTTCTCTGTGTTTGATGGTAAAAGAGGACTTATTAAGTTGCTTTTGAAATTTCTATGTTGTGCTTTCATTGCACCTTCTCGCTCTTAATAAAACTATGGTTAGTAATAAAGAGTCATTCCTGATATATCTCTAAAAATTCTTATGCAGGTGGCATGGATCATGTCAGAGTTCATCCTAAATTTCTACACTCTAATGCAACCAGTCATAAGTGGGTTCTTGGAGGTATAGGAGATAAACATATTCGTAAACTGGGAATGCATTTTATCTCTGTGATATATTTTGGTTTTTTAGGGATTAGCAATAGAATTGATATTTATTGTGCTTTCTTACTTCTGTTCTTATAATTTTTTTCTGCAGCTTTTGCGGAGCTTTTAGACAATTCGTTGGATGAGGCATGCATTGGACCTTCTTCAGTGATCAGTAACATTTCACATGTTTGGTTGCTTTAGACTTCTGAATTAATTACCGTTGGCATTTTTGGAATGTCAGGTTTGCAATGGAGCAACATACGTGAACATAGATATGGTCAAAAGCAAGAAAGATGGCAGCAAAATGTTGCTGATTGAAGGTATTCATATTCGCTGAAATAAAAGATGAAGATGATTATTAGTTTAATATAAGGATTATTTGAGTTGCCGGCCCATTTTATAGAAGAGGGATACTGAACACCTTCTCCTCTTCCGTAAGCACACGCATATAGAATAATAAAATGAAGTTCAAATATAATTGGGAAGATGCAGCTACTAACCTCACAACCAGGGATCTAGGAGATTTTTCTTTAGATGAGAACCTTGTTTATTAACATGAACAGTGATGCGTATGCAGTGCCCTCCAGATGGTGACATGCGTGACAGCATGCTGCCCACAATTGTGATTGCCACATGCACTACAAACTCCGGTGTCATGGTATGGTCGCCTGCCAACTTGGGGTTCGCTACAAATTAGCTGTGGCCAAATGCTGTTTGCCACGATGGTATTATGATACTGGGCCTAAGCACATTGGCCACAGCCTGTGTTGGCTCGGATATGCAGATATCTTATGTGTTCTGTTATTTTGTCCCATAAAATATATCATTGATGTCATGTATTATTACTCGTATATATTACTGCACGCCTCAGAAAATTGGTGTTAATGCATGCATATTGACCCCTTATTTCACATTACTCTATATTCTATAGTTATAGGTGTTCTCCTTTTGATTTCTCATTTCTAATCAAGCTTTCAACTTTTTGTGAATTTGTTTTATTTTTTCTGACGGCTGTTTGCTGATAAACTTCATTTTCTCATGAACTTTTTGCTGTAACTTCTCCATAGATAATGGTGGTGGGATGGATCCGGATAAAATACGGCAATGTATGTCTCTTGGGTACTCTGTGAAAAGCAAAATGGTAGATACTATTGGACAATGTAAGTAAATCTAGTTCTTTCAACTAACAGAAGTGTGAGTTTTGGTGTAAGGATTATGCTACTTGTACGTAAAAATAGTACATAAGGGATTATATAAAATGATGTCGAGGGAAAATATTGGATAAAAAAGTTTGAATGTATTTTAAACTGGTAAATGGTAGAGTGCCATGTGATATTATTTAATTCATTATGTAAACATTTATGTACATGTAGCAAGATCCGTGGTAGTAATAGGTGCCTTCAATGGATCCTATTAGTTTGCTTGTGGATTTATCTGGTGCTCTTTGTATCAGATGGAAATGGATTTAAAACAAGTACCATGAGGCTTGGAGCTGATGTCATTGTCTTCTCACGTTGTTTTGGGGGAGGCGAGAAAAGGTTTATATTCTTTACTCTGATTTGGATTTTTGTCCAATATTACTGTTTGGGCTCCATTAAAATTAGGTTTTCAGGGAAAATGTGTTTTGGAATAGTGATTTTTTGGAGAATGTTTAGTTAAAATATAAGGAAAAATTTTGGGTTTACGTGTAACATTATTCTATGGGAGAATGTGTGATGAAAATGAGTTTGGAAAAGAAATGGAGCCCAAACAGGGGCTTAATGAGATGACATGCAGTTGAACCACTGGGGGCGGTTTAGTAGTAAAGAAGATAACTGTAATATCAAAATATAGAGATAAACCCCCATTAAAGGACCAAGCATACATTTTTTTTTGGAAATTTTTGCATCCTGGTGATATATTTCATCTTCACAAACTGTTTACTGAAATTTGGTCAAACTCGTATCAATTTTAAATTTGATTTTAGGCCCACGCAAAGCATTGGATTATTGTCGTATACATTTTTGAGGAGCACAGGAAAAGAAGATATTGTCGTTCCCATGGTGAGTGTTTTACTACTCTTTTATAAGAGCGATTTTGGTTCCCATGGTGAGTATTAGCTTGAAATATATTCGGCTGATCCCTATGATTGTTTGAGAAGTTGGACTACATACAATTATGAATATTGTTTCATAATACATGAAGACAACACAACAAAGGCAATATTTTCTTCTTATTTAGTCTTTGTTTTGTACCCATTGTTTTAGAACTCCTTTTGCTACAGGATCATTTTCAACCACACATTCACACAATAAAATATTTTGCACGTAAACCCAAAACTCTTTCCTATTTTTAACCACACATTCTCCTAAAAATACTATTCAAAACTCTTTTTTTTTTTTTGAAAAGGGGCTTATTTGTCATTTTTAAAGTAGAAATTTAGTGATAAGAAAGAGACCAAGAGAACTAGTTCACACCTTGAACAATAGTTATAAAAAGAAAGAACCCACAAAATTATCTGGACAGAGTGATCATCCATATTGAAGGTCTTTCATAATTCTTGGAGTAAAACCGATTGCCTTGGAGTGCATGATTGGAGTAAGTGCATTTTAGTAAAAAATATTCTCACAAATTTAAGGGCAGCTGTCCTTCCAAAGAAAGTATGTGAATTTCACTTCGGTAGGTTTTTCTGTTCTACTTTCATTGCAGAGCTTTAGTTTTATCTTAAAATACATGCATAAAGTGTTCATGGTTCTCCTTAATTATGCACTTAACCAGAAGCTTTTGCTGAGGGTTTATGTGCATGTTTTGAAATAACGTTGACTTATTGGCTTACTCTTAATCAACGAGTTAAAATATTAATTAAAGTTACTCTAGAAAGGCTCTTCACACCATTTATTTTAGAAGAAAAAATTTCGTCAAGGAGAAGAGCTATGAATAGCTAATCTGCCAATCTGGGCTCTAAAATAGCTTCTTGTTATGTATCTTGTAAGGTTCCTTTTGACTTTTGTTTAGGTGATTTATACACTCCTGCTAGCTAGGTGTGCTTATGTGATTTTTGATTTTTCTTAATGATAATAAGCTTGATTATGAAAGAAGAGGACAAGAATGGCATAAGATAATTCGATCGTCCGCCAGTGACTGGAATATAAATGTTGAAACTATAGCCCAATGGTCTCCATTTTCAAGTGAAGCAGATCTTCTTCGGCAGGTGATTTTTCTTAATTGGTATTGTTCCCAATGTATTGAATAGTTCTACTGTAGACGGCTCGGAGCACTGATCATTTGAACAATGAATTGGATAACACGCTGTCACTACAAATTCTGAATGTTTGCTTGAGCTTTCATCATTGTTCTTTCTTACTTATTTTCTGGATTTTTTGCTCTCCTAATACCCCTATATATTGATATAATGTTGTTTTTGTTTTCTTTTTATTTCTCTTTTGGGAAGCTAGAAGCTTCTTCAATCTATTGTTTGTTTAACATTGAATCTATATTGATATGCTGGGAGCAGCAGCTATAATGCTGATTAATATTTAATTCTCCAGATGATTTTCCTACAAACTATTTGATGCAACAAGGAAATATCGTTCATGTTTCAACTTGGCATTTCCACTCTGCATCTTAAATGTGCTTGAGTCCATCCTTTATATGCAAATTGGGAGGAGAGAGTGGAAGATTGGGACATCAGTACTTGTATTTCGCAGTAATCATAGTTTACAGTTGGAGATTAGACCATGTGCATATAATGCGAACACTTTAAGATGTTAATATAGTGGGCTGGGGCATCACAATTATGTTATGTTTTGTGTTACTTCTCGTTGTTGCAGAATGATATATTTGGTTGGCAAAATGGGTTGAGTGGCAATGTTCTATATTTATTGCCTGATTTGGCTCTATTCTCAGATTGAATGGCTTTATCGATAGAAGTTTTTGGAGCAGTACTTATACCAGTATTTTTTTAGGGAAAAACATTGGCATAACAATACATTCCATGCATGATACTGATTTTTGGAAATTTCGGATTTAAGACATTTTTAGATCAAATCATAGCTTTATAGTTTCCTTTCGACTACAAAAGGTCAGCACAGAAAGAAAAAACTAAAAACTATTGTTAAATAACTCCCATATCTATATGTTCCAAAAAAGGAACTAACGTAGCAGCCTCGTAGGATGTTCTTTTTGTGATGGAGTATGAAGATGTTCTGTACTAAATTACTAAATGTATGTAATAGTGAATTATAAAATATTTTTTCATATGGATAATAGAACGAAAGCTTAATCAGACCATCTCGAGGGCCTAATATTATACTACCTGTACCATGAACTTTGCTAGACAAGCCATTTTGGGTAGTTCAACCTTGGGTTATCTTTCTTAAAATCAAATGGTCTAGTCAACCTCAAATAGCCTTGGAATCTATTTGGTAAATATTTTTACGTCCATGCTAAATGGGTGAACCTGGTTAACTTGGTTTTACTTTTTGGTTTGTGGGTGAGGGGAAGGTGACCTGGAAAATCTCTATCAACAGAAGTTATTGGTTTCTAAGAAAATGAACAATGAGATACAAGATTGATGGCAAGTCATTCTGTGAAGATCTTATTTGAGTAACTTAAAACCCTGCTTATGGCATCACTGAGTATGTATTGCATTTGCTGATGTTTACCTGTTTGCTATTTTGTTCTATGATTGTCCTCACTTGGTTGGTCTTGTTTGGACATTTGCTACATAAATTCTACCTTTGCCCTTTGTATTTGTAGTTTAATCAGATGAAGGATCAAGGTACCCGGATAATTGTATATAATTTATGGGAGGATGACCAGGGCCTATTGGAACTTGACTTTGACACCGATCCACATGTATCCCATCAACTTTCTATTTGTGGATTTCCTCTTCATATTTCATCTGATACTTGCACAGAAATGATTCTTTCATCTGTTATGGTTTTGTTTGCTTGCAGGATATCCAAATCCGAGGCGTAAACAGAGATGAGAAGAACATACAAATGGCACAGTTGTATCCCAACTCCAGGCACTTTCTAACATATCGACATTCATTAAGGGTTAGTGGCTGTTGTTATTATGTTAGGTTCTTTTCATGGTAACCCTTGTGACTTTTGGAGCTTCAAAGGCAGGGATGCTTAGAAATATCAGTCTTTCGCCATGCTACTAGTACTAGTACCACTACTGTCTGTTTTCAGTGGTGGTTGTTATAAACAAGTCGCTTCTTGAAATTGCAGAGCTATGTATCGATTCTCTACCTCAGAATCCCTCCTATTTTTCGAATTATTCTGCGTGGGAAAGATGTTGAACCCCATAATATAGTGAATGACATGATGATGTCCCAGGAGATTACTTATCGTCCACAGCCTGGAACTGATGGGGTCCCAAAAGATGCTAACGTAATTTTTGTCATAATGATATTTGGTAAGAGTTTTGTTTCTCATAGCTAAACGTGCAAATCTGGTGACTATCTTTTGTCTTTGTTATTAGATGGTTGCTTCTGTAACTATTGGGTTTGTGAAGGATGCAAAAGCACATATTGATGTTCAGGGTTTTAATGTTTATCACAAAAATCGGCTCATTAAGGTCTGCTTCTGTTTCCTTACAGTCCTTATGATATATGAAAATTATCACCATACATTGACTAAATTAAGGCCTGTCTCCTGTTCCTTCGCGTTCCATGTGATCTGATTACATTTGTCAATATCAGTAGTTACATAAAGTATTAGCATGTTTCTTTTTAATTTTCTGAGATTTATTAACTTAGATCATGCTTTTCTGAAATCATTTAGTTTTTGTATTACTGGTTGGTTTAGGCTGAACTTGTGAATCATTTCATGATCATTCATCTGCTTTAATGCATTACTGATATCAAAATTTTCTATTTCTCCAGCCATTTTGGAGACTTTGGCATGCTCCTGGTAGTGATGGTCGTGGAGTTATAGGTAGTTTCTGTCCTCTGTATTTCCATAATTTCATTAGGTTTAGTTGTGTAATCTTGTACGTCTTTCTACCAGGTGTGCTTGAAGCCAATTTTGTTGAACCAGCTCATGATAAGCAAGGGTTTGAGCGTACTACGGTTCTTGCAAGACTGGAGGCGCGATTGATACAAATGCAAAAGACATATTGGTTTGTTCTTAGTGTGCTGCACACATTGATTTCCTCCTATTGTGTCCATTCCTTGAGTTTTCTGGGTTTTGAATTCTTATTATTTTCTCTGTCTTGCTTGTCCTAGGTCTTCAAATTGTCACCACATTGGCTATGCTCGAAGACGCAATAAAAAAGCATATGAAAGAGGTACGAAACAGGGTCGTGTTCTTCCATCCACTATCCCACACAGACACATAAAAAGAGTAGGGAAAAATTGCATTATGGCCCCTCGTACACGCTATAGATCATAATTCAAAATTCAACTTACAAGTTCCCCTGGGATTAGGAAATTTTGATGCGTTCCTTGGAATATGATATGTGATTTTGTTGTGTAGAGAGCTCTCCCGATTCTTATTCCCCAACTCCTCAATCAAAAAAGTATGTTACCTCTTCAAGTAGCAAGTCTTCTATCAAGTCAGTGGATAAGGGTCTCAATAAAGGGCATGTGTATGGAAAGGATGATGTGAAGAAAAAAGCATCTGGAAAGCGACAAAGTTCTTCTGGACAATTGTCTTCTGCTGAGGATGTCAGTGATGTTGATGTGCAAATTAACATTTCTACGAATCGAGTCAATGGCTTATCATCTAGGAAATTATCAGGAAAAGATGGATTTCCAATGCCTTCTGGATTGAGATCCGGTGAAGCTTCAGGAAATAATTTGCCTGTCGTAAGGCCTGTCCGAACAACCAGAAATTTAAGATCCCAGGTAGGTTCTTATTATTGTATTCCTTCTACTCAAGTATAGCCAGAAAGTTCTAACTGTGCATGCTTTTCTGTAATTGCAAGGTAATGACTGTGTTACTATTATAATATTGGATGAGACCTAGCCTAATTACCCAGTGGATCAAGTGTTGACCTTTCTGTGAATACGGAGGTTATTTTTTATGCTCTCACATGTTTTCTGGAAAGATTTGTAGATTACCATTATGGCTGCATATATAGAATTTCAGTTTGGTTGTTGAATTACCAAATATAATAAGTCAAAGTAATGGTGGACCCCATTGGCTATCTGGTAACAGCTCATTTTTGTGTGCTTCAAGAGAGAATTTTCCACGACTTCCTCTATGAATTGCAATTGATAACAAGCAGAAATCACCAATGCAAAGATGGAAGTGCTTGTGATTCTGGGATGTCTGGAATTGAAGCGACTTTTACTTCATTTGGTGCATAGAGGCTGCTGATCGAGAAATCTTAAATTAGAAACCCACCAATAAGAGTGAAAGAGGAAAACCTCATACCAAGGAAAAAGACAATTTGCCTCCCCAATCCATTTTGATGCCAATCCTTGAACCATTGTTTATCTTACATCAGAAACAAGTAGTATAGATGTGGTATAATGAGTGTTTTCCACAAATTTGTGTCAAACCTTTGACACAGATTATAGGCAGTCATTTTATGCTAGTATTTAAGAGTTATCATTATGCCTGTTGTAATAGATGCCGTCAATGCAGTATTCTGTGTGGTTGATATATGTATTCCGTGTGCCTTTGTAACCACTAGAATAAGTGATATTCATTAGGCGAAGAGCATCCTTTTGAGACTTTTGCAGTTAGTTATCCTTGAAGTGAAAATTGAGGCTACCTTAATGGCTAACTTATCCAGAAAATATAAGATCTGACGACTTTAACAAAAAATGTTTGCATATAGAAAATTTCTGTATTTATTTTGTAATTTTTTTGTCCTGGAAAAACAAGGGTTGAAGAAGAGTGAATTTGCAAAGTAGTTACTAGCAAAGTTTAAGGGTCCGTTTGATTACAAGGGTGAAAAATGGGTGGAAAGAAAATGAATTCCAAAGAAAATAATTGTCTAAAAATTATTTTGCAGGGAATTAGAAATTAAGCATGTTTGATTGATATAATTTTCCACCTGAAAAATTTTAAAATTTTGTGTTTGTTTGACTTTGTTTTATATGGTAATTGTCCATGAGAGTGATAATTTTTCCCACAATTGATTATAAAATTTGTTTCCATTGCCAAAAAGTTAAAAAAAAAAGGATAAATTTTTTTTCCTAAAAAATCATTTTTTTAATCAAAGTTTAATGTTTAAATTGTCCATAAAAGTGAATTTTTTTTTTACAATTGGTTATGAAATTTGTTTCCATTGCAAAAAATAGAAAAAAAAATAGAAAAAAAAAAAGGAAAAGGTGGAATCAGATTTCCCACCAAATAGGTGGGAAAAACAATTCCCTTCATGCCAAGAAAACAGGTGCGTGACCTGACCAAGTGGAAAATCAAAAGCCAAGAAAATTGATACCATCAAACGACACAAAACTTGGAAAATGGAAAACTAATTCCATTTTCCATGGAATTCATGGTCTATCAAACAGACCATAAGAGTTACTGGGAATTTTCCAGTAATATTCTGCTGTTATCTAGGCTTCCATCGTTCAACTTCTAGTTGCCTTGTAAGGCACAAACCATCTCTCTTTAATTAACAGTGTAGCTTGCATCCATGAACTATAATTTTCAGACTGATAGCCAAAGTAGTTAGACATGAATGAAATTTTGAAAGGAATTTTGATTTTATGTTCATTATGCCATTCAATTTACAGGAAGATGATTATAATAGAGAAGAGTTATCACATGCAAAATCCAGTTCTGACACAATGGAACTGTTGAAAGAAGAAAATCGAGCGCTGAAAGAAAGGTGCTTAGTCTGTTTTAAAGATGAATCTACCACATGCTCAGCCGTCGTCTATCACCACGACAACTGATTCATTTTTTCTGATTTCACAGATTGCAAAGGAAAGAGGAAGAGATTCTAGGTGATCTGCTGCATGATCTACAGAGTGAAAAGGATAAATGCAAATCACTCGAAGCTCAGGTTATTATTATAGTATCCTTTTATCATTGCGGGCATGGTGTTATTTTGGATTTTTCTTGCTTAAGAATAATTATTAGCTCTACTGCTCTAGTTCACTTTCGAAGGAGGCATCAAAAATAATTCTTAACATAATTTTTGTTTTGGAGATAATTTAAAGATTGATGGTCTTTGATGAGAAAGTCACGTGAATTAGCAATTCTTGTGATATTCCCAGACTTCAAGAATTGAAATCTGCCCGTCCCACCTACACCCACCCCCCATTCCCCTGCAGGAAAAATGAAGATAGAAATAGAAAAATCAAAGCTCTAGATAGTCTTTTGGCTGGTTTCTTGGCAAGTGAAATTCTGTTTCCTTTTGATCAGCTGCACGAGGCAAATCAAAAAATTCAGGAACTGGTCAAAGAACAAGATAGTTTGATCGATATATTCTCAGAAGAAAGGGAACGTCGAGACATTGAGGAAGAAAATTTGAGAAAGAAATTAAAGGTTTCCCTTTCCATTTCGCCTCATGATTTTAGTAGTGCTAATTTTTAATGCAGAATCAGACGTATAAATTACCTTATGTTTTTTCTCCTTTTATATAGGAGGCATCAAATACCATCCAAGAATTGCTGGACAAGGTGAAACATTTGGAGAGGTCTTTAAATGGAGAATTGGAGCGTTGAGAAATAGTGATAGGATTTTACGTCCTGCATTCATCTGCTATTAGAGCATCAGTTCATTCATACATCCATCAAGCACGTTGAAGCTTGCAGATGAAGGCAGGCACATGATCTCCCTCATCCCTAAGTTGAGGAGCACGACATTTTCCAAACAGGTAACTGACGCTGGTTCTTTCTATTGCTTCTCGTGTGCATAGATGACTTGATGTTAGGTTAGGGATGGAGATATTTTTCCCTCGGAACCAGAGTGTGTAATTATTGCACTGCACCATAAAATGTCTCAAATAATTTACTAATACTATGTATCCTTAGCCAGATGTATCTAGCTTCCCCTCCTTTCTGCTCTTTTTTTGCTTGTTCTCCTGGAAGCTTTATTTATGTATTTCCTAGAAGCTGCATGCAATCATCAATATTAATATTAAGCCCCTGTTTGGTGGCCATTTTTTTGGAAAAACGTTATTTTGAATAGTGAATTTTTAGAGAATATATTAAAAAGTAAGGAAAAGTTTTGAATTTACGTTTAGAATATTTTATAGTGTGAATATGTGATTGAAAGTGAGTATGTAGAAATAAAGTTTTGAAATAATGGGAGATAAACAGGGGCTAAGGTATGTGTGTATATAGGCCCAGGGGTTGTCGGTAAGTCAGTCCAGGTATTTCAATATTCAAAATCACTTATTACACTTTTGGTATTTCGTAAATTGAATCATTAGGGTCCACATAATTACAGGAATTGAACTTGACCTGAATCGATTTGGGTTCAGGTACGAGTACGGTTCTATACATAATATTATTTTTGAGTAATCGTGAGCTAAATTATTTTCCTCATATCTAGTAGAAATACGAGAAATAAAATTCAAAAAATACTTATTTCAACACTTATCAAATATGCCACCAAATATCATCCAATTCCGGTTTGGCTCGCGTTTGGCGCCACGAGAAGCATGGAAAGTGTTGTTAATAGTGGTTATGATTGAGGGTGATAATGATGCAATTGTTCAATGATTACTATTTGCTTGCAAACTTAGCCTCTATTTGACAACTATTATTTAGGAAAAATGTAGTTTTGAATAGTGAATTTTAGGAGAATATGTGGTTAAAAAGTAGGAAAAAGTTTTAGGTTTATGTGCAGAATATTTTATTGTGTGAATATATGTTTGAAAATGAGCACGTAGAAAAAGAGATTGAAAATAATGATTGTCAAACAAGGGCTTAATTGATATTTGATGAGTCTTGCTACTTGTTGGGCCTTTGTCATTGTGTTAGGATGGATAAATTTTAAAAAACAAAATGATTATATAAAATATAAATTTGTTTCCAGAGTCGGATGTTGACGGTTTCAAATTAAGAATCAAGAACTATCTGGGATTCTGTTGGTTCTGCTTCGAAAAGTTCAATTTTGGTTAAAATGTAAACTCCTATCTGTACGCAATTGAACAAATGGAGCTTGAATTAATTGTGAGTCATTTGGTTTAATTCTTCCATTGTTGTTTATTAATGATATTAGTTTGGAGTTATGTTATGTTCAAAAGACTATTTGGGTTTTCATAATAAGTTGGTCGCATATTTATTATAATACATATATGGCACTTTGGAGGTTTTACATTCTCTTGATCAATCTTCATAGTTTAGGCTTGAATCAGCAAGTTTATAGATCAAATCAATTTTCATTATTCACTTTTAATGATAACTTGATTATAATCAGTTTTTGATGTTTGATTGCATTAGGGTCGCAAGTAATAATCGTCATATTGCTAGAACAAATTGAAATCGTTTTTTTTAAACTGTCAATTTTGTGCCATACAAATTAGTCCCTGATATGGGCAA